TCGACAAAATCTCTCCTGAGATTTGAGGCCGATGGAAATTCTAGAACTAGATGCTGATCAATTTCAATTGCTCAAATGTTCTCCACGTGAGTCTCCTCAATGCAAAAATTATAATTTTATAGACTACACAGAAGACAATAATGGCTGAAGGGGCATAATCAGAGGGGAATTTCAAATACCGATGAAAGATCATTCTCAGCAAGCCTAATATTACCTTCACTAAAATATTATCCTAGTTAAATACCAAGAGAATGTGAATCTCGACCACTTTAGCAACTGCCTAGCCAATTTGGGCAACTGCATAACTACGACAGGTACCTAAATTTTCGATTGGAAACAATATAGAAAGTAAGGAGGAAACGATCGAAAGAACAGATAAAAAGAGGTACCTAGAAATAAAACATGAGTCATTTAAATTACAATTGTTAAATTCGCTGAGACATGATTAAAATGAATCACTCAAGGAATGGGCAGAATTTAAATCAGAATAGTAAATGGTTTTCTCAAACCTTGATCCCAGAACCACCAAACCAAATTGTAACACAGGTGAGAGGCCAAGTTTTCCAACGTGGTGAGCAGCAGAACAAACCCTAGGTGAATTCAATGTCTTAGGAGTCCCGAAAACATTCGCGAATATTTCTACACGAACCGTACACGCACTGACGAGATTATTATACGCATACTGTGAGTTCACTTGAGATTTACAGTGAGAGTATAATGGTGAAACTCTCAACGTGACACAGTTCAAATCCATCGAGTCGCGAAATCGCGTTGGTTAGAGGAACGAGAACCGAAACTGAAGCCGGCCGGCCGGCTGTACGATTCGCGAAACGCGACACAAGTATTCGGCGGAAAGCACTCTGAAAACTCGTACGCGAGACTTAAAGTCGAAAGATTTGCGACAAACTCATCACGACACGAAAATATAACGCGCGAAAAGTACTTGTATGCCCAGCAGCGGTGCCAGAAAATAGTGTAGCGTCAGGCGACCGGGCGAGTGAAACGCGTGCACACCAGCGAAAAATCTCGAAAGAATGAGGAAGAGGAAGCTGAAAGAAAACTGAAGACAGGACGCTGCCTGTCACAGAGCATGAGAGAGGGGGAGCGTCACCTAGCGGGAAGCGGGTAGCAACAGGTGGAGGGGGAGGGTGGGGGGAGAGAGAGAGAGAGAGACGGAGAACTTTTACCCCTTTTCCTCTCCACTGATCAAAAATCTTGGCGGCCGAAATTTTTGAGTACGTCGACCGAAATCATACACCCATGCAAGTGACAATGAATTGGATTGTGGATTATATTTCTTCTGGGGGGTCATCTTTGAAATTATTTACATATTCTGCCACGCGAACAAGGAAAATCATGGACACTAATGAGATGTAAAAAGACATGCGTATTTCGATAGCGGTATGAGTATGTAGTCGAAAAGTGCATCACTCCATTGATACTTTTCAAAATCACATCTCCGTTTGGGACGTTCTCAACTTCCTGTCATACTTTATTCCTCCTTTAAAAAGTCAACGTTCTCTCTTGAAAATTTCCTTGATTTTTCCTCCCTTTTGACGGACTATTTTATAGGACTTTCAAACTATGACGTTGATTTGTTTCTCTTTGCAATAATAAATTAATAGCAGAAATTTTGAAACGTCGCAAAATGATGATACGCTGCTTTGCACTCACATGGCTGCATCGATGTCGCGCTCATGCATGAGTTTATGATGGNTTTGTCCTGTAGACTACTGGAAAATTGGTAAAAAAAAAAAAAGCTCTGAAAATTTCAGTTAGAATGTGTGCTGAGTCATTAGGAACCACTGTTATTCATTGTGGTTCTTTTGCAGCGTCCCCCCCCCCTTCTAATTTATCAAGGGTTTTGTCTTAATATGTTTAAGTCTCCTCCTCCAGAGGGATTTATTCCAGATAAGCATGTAAAGTTAATTGCCAATTTTTTTCTTCGCAGAAAGGCTGTTTAAATACTAAGATGACCGCTGAGGCAGAGGGTCTGAGCTTCCCTCCGAGGAGGGTGGGGGAGGGGGGGATACGAGAGGGATGGGGATCAAGCCTAGTCCGTGTGTCATGCTTCTCACTTAAAAAAATTCAGACAAATAATGACTCAAATAAATTAAAATGTAAATTACCTATATTTGTCAGTTACCTAATTCTCAGAATTTCTCTGTTATTTTCTGAAATATTAGAGAGAGGATGGGAAGTCAGGTCAGTCTTACATACATAATTCAAAAGTAGGAGAAAAAGGGTCATAAAGTGGGCTCAAATGTCTATCGTAATATTATTAGAACATGTATTGGAACGGTTCCTAAGGTGGAAAATAAGCACACAGATCACCTGGACAGGAATCGAACCTGGGGCGTTATACGGTCATAGGGCCAGCGCAACAACCACTACACCACAGGAGGCCAAGGAAAATCATAATGAAGTACCCATAAAGTAAACTTAAGGCACGAAAAAAGAGCACATTTCTTCGGGAAAGCAGAGGCACACAAAAGTTGAAAGCGACTTTGGCTTCATATGAAAACTATTCTCGAGAGTGACTAGGAGTGGAAAATGGCTTAACACTTTCCCCGGTGTCCATCTAGAGCCCAGAATTTTGAGTCTTTTTCTTATGATATTTTGATATCTGTACCAACATTTTTTCCATTCCATCTGAGAAAGTTGAAAATGCAATATAAAATGTTCCATAGGATGCAACTGGCCGGGAAGAGACAAATGATCCGACCCTAGTTGCAGGGACGGTAAAAAATCTCTTAAAAACTTGTCAATTTTGATTAAAGACTCTTCATAAAACTGTTAAAATTAATGAAGGAAGAAACCCTTTTGGAGATTTTTTTTCTAAAAACGACAGGTCAAATTTAAGTAAGTGCAATAATTGTTTTAAAAAAACTCTTAAGTACCTAATAATGATACACTGGTTTGTTAACACACTTTCTAAATTAAATTTTACTTTAAAAAATTGTTTGAAAAAATCATGTTTTTTGAGTTCTTCAACACTTTTTTTACTTGAAGTTTGCCTCTCGTAAATAAGGTATGCGTAAAAAAATCCCAAAGAGAGTTTCCTTCTTTGTAAATTATAACAATTCTTTTAAGAATTTTTAAAAAGAAATTTTATCAGCCGTTGCTAGTATGGAAGCCCTCTTGCCATTTATTGTGGCTATTTGGTGCTCGGATTTTAGAAGTTATTTTTCTCATTATTTTGGAGCGTTCCGTTCTGGTGTTTGTTCTTTTTTCAATAATTATTAGAAACTGTGAGCCCGGCTGAGCCTGCATGACCAAAAAGGCCTTCCTAATATCTCTCCTTACCTAACTTTGATCTGTGTCTGATTATATCTCACTCTGGATTGATTTCAACTTCTGTGTTTGTATTGAGGTACCACAAGATTTTTTAGGTGGATTTTTAAAAATTTGCCTGGGCCACTCACTAGACAAAGAATTCATTCATCCTACTTACTTACAGCTCATTCATTTTGAACATATTTCCTTCTCCCACCCCTGTTTGCTACTCATTCAGTTCGACTTGCTGTTGATTGCATCATTCAAGTTGATTCAGTTCAGTAATTAAGTTTTTCTCTCCACTAACTTCCTATTCCTACCTGCTACACTCAAACAAAGCACAGATGGATACCTCAAAAACTTACATGGAATCTTCTGAGCACACAGCTTAGTTTTTACTCAAGATTGCAAGTGGAATGACATATCGATGGCTAGATGCAAGAAATATATACCTTAAGTGAGGGGCTTGGAGAAGAAGGTGCATAAGTGCAGTTTTTGATACTTCGAGAGATAAGTACGTGTTTAAAGTTTGAAATTTCATGGATCCAAATGGCGGAAAGAAAGTTTAAACTGACTTTTTGATGCTTAAAAATTTGAATTTGGGAGCGAATTTTTCACAGAATATGTAATAAGACTAGTGTCACTTGAAAGCATTAGGATCTTGATTTTTTCAACAACTGCACTTATGCACCTTGTCATCCAAGCCCCTCAATGGACCACTAGACAAGGTACGAATTTCAGCATTCTGATACATGTTTCGTAACTAAAATTTCACGTAGAACACGATGCGCACAACGAAAATCATCGAAATTAACTCCTCACGAAGATATTTAATGTTTCTTGGTGCGTGAATTCAAACCACCCGCTCATGAAAACTCAATTCTCTACGTGATTCACACCGCGCGCTAAACATTATCATGACAGTCTCTACGATATAAAAATCTGGCAATCTCGATCTTGACGCTTTGGCTCAGCCATAGCAAATTGCTAATAGTTTGAACAACACATGGTGGGAAATGAACATTGCTCGATTGAGAAGCTTGCTGAAACCATTGAAGTGCGTGATTTGACTCACGTAGAGCTTTGAGTTTCTTGTGAGCGGGCAGTTCAAATTCCTCGTGACCAATGTGAAATAAAAACGTTAATATCTTCCTTAGGAGTTGGTTTCAGTAATTTTCGTTGTGTGAATCGTGTTTAACGTGAAATTCTGGTTAAGAAACATGTATCAGGTTGCTTAAATTCGTACCTTGTCTAGTGGTCCATTGCTCATTCAAAAATCTTAGATCATGTGATACGGAAAATTGATTATAATTTTTCTTTGAATTCTGATTAATTCTTTTAGAGCTAAAGAAGAAAGTTCACAGAAAAATCTTCCAGGAACTTTTGATCAATTTTTTTTTGAAATATTACACAAGTCCAAAAACTTGCAACATTGCAATCTGGAATACATATTTTATTTTAACTTTAATCATTAGTATTTAAATTTTATCACATTCAATTGATGGCCTATTCTGTGTAAAATTTGCCATCCTTACCTTGGTTGCTAATTATTGAAAAAAGAGGGTGATATGTATTATTACCCAGTGGTTCTGTGAAAATGAGATATCTTGAAGGTATCAATAGTCCTTTCTCAGAAGTTGTCAGTTTTTTAACTTGCAAAATTGCTCGCATACAACTAATTACAAAGGTGCTTCATTGGTTTATACTGATTGATTTTGCAGATATTAAAATCGCAATAAAAAATGTTTATTTCATAGATAAAAATATTCAACACAGTTGAAAAAAAACATGGAAAAAGTGTGTGGGGAGAATATAATATTGAGATAAAATTAAAAATCGATTGAAAATAATAATTAGAAATATCACAGAGGGAAAATTATGAAAGATTAGTTTTTTAAAAACACAATTACAAGAAATCGTGTTCTCGGCAAACAAACAAAAAAAAGGGTAGAAAAATGTTTAACTTAGATGTCGTTGCATTACAACTAATGCTTTAAGTTGATCATGCATAGCCAGCTGTAAGGCGGGTTATTTAAAACTTACACTTTATCCCTCCAATTGAGAGTTTTGTATTCAACTAAGTCATTATCCTTGGTTAAACTAGACAGTAAAATTGTTTTTTTGTTGGAGGAACCGAGTCTACCATAAGCAACAAGTTGACGCAGTGATACGCCTTCCAAAGAATCAACACAAACAACGATCAGTCGTGCATGAAATTTTGCTGGATCACCTGAATTAAAATAAATCAATAATTAGTACTGTGGTCATCAATAATAGTAAGTATTTTATTATTGATAAATATTGTGTTTTGGCTCTGTAATAATTTGAGCGCCAAACCTTTGAAAAATGATACCATAATTAATCAGTTATAGAGTGGTTATTAAAAGATATGTCAACAAAAATATGATGACAAAAGGCGATGTCAACAAATTAGAATACAAATCACTTTTATTGATTTCATTCAATATCAAAACGAAAACGTGAAGCTATTCTTAAAATAGGGCCTGATTAGATTTTACATGAACACTGGTATACGGTAAAGAAAAAATTAAATTGAGCTATGTAGTGGGTTATTCACGCTTCAGCCTCAAATGAGGTCTTATTTTGATTACTTCGAAGGAGATTGTTAGCAATGTCAAATTTTCTACTTCCACAACTCTGCTGCCATATGAGGATTGTATTGAAAAAGATGAGACCCATATGAATTTGCGAGGAGGAATGAGACGATTTACTTTAGAAACCAAGAATTATTTATGCAAGAAGAACCTTTAGAAGGGAGGCATATGGATGCTACTTTAATTTTCAAAAAATACTTTTTTGAGTAATCTGAACTGATACCTAAGCATTCCTTTTGGCATGAAATAAGCTCGCTGATTGTTGGATTTGTTAGGCTAAAATCTCACACCAAATTTCATTTATTCTTCAATTCTTCAGTTTTTAATGATGATGCAGTAACGGACTTTTTCAATTTTGGAAGAGAAACCCTCCTCCCCCCCTTCCCCCTATAGAGCTGGATAGGGCAGAGTGGAGCAGATGATCCCAAATTCCCAAGGATAACATTCAACTTAAAAACTGCGCTGATTTATTTAAAAATGAACTTCAGGTACTGCAAGTAAAAGGAATGATGAGAGAAGGACAAATATTTCAGCTACTTTTCTCTTGATGGAACTCTTCTGCTCACAAACTTAGAATAATTTTTGACTTCCACTTTGTAAGCAATGCTAAGGGCAAGCTGCAAAACTGACTTTTTTTCTATCAAGCAGCAATAAAAACTCTTTTTCTCAATTTTTTTTTTAAAATTCAAAGGAGATAATTAACAGAAAATGAAGCTAACTGATTAAAAATTACCTGGATAGGCCAAAAAATCGCCGCCAAATTTTATGCCAGAGGTTAGATAAAACCCTTTCTCCCAAAGATTTTTGAAAGTTAAATACTTCAGCTTTTCTGCTCGTGAAGAGGGATAGCTCCATTCCACAGAAACTTTCTTTTCTGATTTTGACCATGGATCAGCTAGAGGAGACAGGAGATCATTTAAGAATTAAGTAAAACGATGAAAAAATAAAAAAATGAAAAAAAGAAAAAAAATTATCAAAAAGTTGAAAATAGATGGATGAAAAATGTTGTTGGCGAAAATATGTTCCATTTAGCCAAAGCTCTCATCTCTAGTTTATTTGGAGGTGTTCAATCGGTAAGAAATATAATACTACAGAGATGTTTAGCTCTTTTAATCAAATGAACACACATGCAAACATAAAGCAGGGCAAAAATCATCAAAACTCGAACCTCTAAAAATTTTGGGAATTCATTGTCAAAAAAAGTGAGCATTATTAAAAGAGGAATGGGTATAAAAGACTTATCACTCGGAAATTCTCTCACAAGAGGCCTGCTCAGTTTAATTAAATTTTAAGCGGATTGCTGTGACTCTCATCAATGCTTTGAAACAAACTATTGCTGAAAAGGCAGTGGGTGAAAATGATTTTTACTACCCATGATGAAACTCTAAGCCCCTCTTCCATTAGAATCATAGAAAATCAGAAAAACCTCCTTCTGAGCCTTCTTCCAAAAATAGCTGCAAATTTTCTCGAGCCTAGTTTTGTTAGAAAAAAAGCTTATACCTATATTTTTCTTGCAAATTCTTGCTAAGACAATATTTGTGCTTTAATCCTCTGCTCACAATGTGTTGCAAAAAAAATTTAAGTCCTTCTGGCCTCTCAAATGCACTCATACATTAATGAATTTAGTTAACAAATTTTGGTAATTATATCTACAGTTACATTAGGTAAGAAAATGAAACTTCACGGCAGTCTGCTACGTGTGGATGCCATTCACAGCCATGGAATACTGAGTTATGAAACATAGGAAACAAAAAATAAACTGGAAAACGACATGGGAAAAAATGTCTCAGTGAAATAGCCATGAATTGTTTCAGGGTAAGCTCCACATATTGCTGTTTGGCATAGGGATGTTCGAGAGGCTTTCTAGAAAGAAGAGATCAAGAGGATGAAACTGGCGATTACAGCAAAAGGAGTCCAGTTACTTTTAAAAGCCACTCCTGTAACTAGTAGTACTGGACCAGCCACTCATTTTGTTCGAATTTTGAATTAAGTAGGTTCACATCCACATTCTCAGCTCATTTGATAATTCTAACTTTAGAAAAATTTGTGGAGGATTAAGACACACATAATTTCTCAAGTAATTGCTTATTGAAATCCTGAAATGTAGGGCAGCGCATTAATGGAATACCTGTGAAAATCTGCACCAATGCATTCGATGCAGGAGGAGGAACGATTTTATCCAATTCTGTCTTTAAAATTTCCTCTTTGTTAATTTTCAAGGATGCATCCAAGTCTGTGTTATCGCCAGTAGCTTGAGCTAATTTTTTCTTCAGCAATTTTTCTCGCTGTAACTGTTTGCCAGCTACAATTTGATCTATCATTTGAACAACTTGAGCTTTCCTTTTTTCTATGTAAATTTGGCTCTGAAATTATAGAGAATCCAACCGAGATTAATAATGAGAAACACCTGTAGAAGTAGGTACCTAATGAAAGAATGAACAAAATTTAAGAATGAAAAATATGGGATTTTGATAGTATCATGTGTTGTTATTTAGAGGTACAGTGCAATTAAAACTATATCACACCATCTGAAGACATGGAAAAATAAGCTGCTATGTGGGACAATACTACAAAAGCATTTTAATATCTGATCAGCTGAACTACACAGTTGCCATCGATCGATGAAAGTTTACCAATACACTTTTTCTGATAGGTGCAAACAAAATTCTGCCCTGAATTCAATTCTCAAGCAGGTTCCTCAGGTTAGATTAGGTATCCATCAGTGGCACAAGAGGAGGAAATCACTAATTAGGGTATTAAATTCACCAGCTGTGGCTCTACTGTTGCTAACATAAATACAGTGGGTCAGTATAAGAGTATGCAAGTTAAGTATATGGGTTAAAAGTAAAAAGTTAAAGTTATCAGTTAGTTACAATATGAGAGATTGATGATTGCTATGATACCGCCGATCATTGAAAAAAAAAATCCACAGATATTGGGGCTGACTTTTTCCTTAAGGACAATCACATCACCTTGTGTAGATGACATGATACTTGTACAAGCTTTAGTTTATGGAAATTTCAAAATATGATACTGTTGCTGATGTTTTTAAACTCTACCGCATAAGCCAAGGGCAACCTAACCACTACCCTCCAAGAGACACTTTTCTTGTTCTGATGAAAAAGAAAAAATTCTCATGATGAACATGCATTTCCTACACCAAAAGCGCATCTAACTGTTTGAATTTTGCTTTTCCAACAAGGTTGGCAGATTGAGCCTTAAAATGTGGATATTTTACATGGGTTTAAATGAGGAAAAACGAGTTTTGTGGCACCATCTGCCACCTATTGGTTGCAAGGTTGTGGGGTAAAATATGGATATTTTGCATTGGTTTAGATGAGGAAAATTGCTGATTTTACAGGACATTGCCAGACAGCACTGAAATTCAGCTTTAAAATCTCCATAAACTATACACATTTTGTCACACAATTTGGCAACCTTGTTGTTGTTGCTAAATAGTTCTGAAAAATTAGCTTTTTTACCCATTTAAATTTCGCATATATTCAAAAATTTTTGCAAAGATACGAAGACAGGCTACATCGTCATCCAAACGAAACTGCTATTGAACTTCTAAATAATATCAAGGAAATTAGAAGACTCAAAAGGGAGAAGCCATGGGAGCTTGTCACCAGTGCTGATTCTGATTATTAGGAGATAATATTACTCACTACATTTGAATTTCACATCTCATCCACCTAATCCTTATGATTTCTTATTAATCTTAAAATTAAGTCTTAAGTTTGACTATAATTATTATAGAAATAAGTAATTATCCAGTTATTACTTTTATATACCTTTATTTATATACATTAAGATAATTGTATATATTTCCTCCTAGGAAGGTTACAATAAATAAACTCTTTAAAAAAAAAATAAAAAAACCCATTTAAATCCATGTAAAATATTCATATTTAATGGCACAACTTGGTAACCTTCAATCAATGTTTCTATTGCAGAGAACTTTCGATCGCAATGCAGCCCTGGGAAATAAATACTCAGGTTTGGCTGAAATATAGAATGGATCATTCTTTCTTCTGAGCTGCACTCCTTTACAGAGGGTACTTGACAAAGGCCAGAAAGTATCTCAAATTAAAGGGGATGGCAATCCTAAAATCGAAAATGAGATAGTATTAAAAATTGAAGTAGGAAGGTATACGAAGGAAAATGGCTGTAAGTCTGACTGGTAACATCATGCTCTCCTGGTGCGACTGCGGCTCACACGCACACAACTCGAAATCTGGCGCGTTCGCTGTCTGCCGCCGCAAAATCACCTTATTAGTCACACCAAAGCAAAGAAAAAAGAGTCAGCCAGGAACAAGCTACATCCTGGCGAACTAATAACTAGTCACGAACACGCGTCAGTTACTTAACGCCGGAGACAGAATGCAGAGTGCAGACTGCGAAATGCGAGACTGAGCTCATGATGTCACACGCTCAGCTGTTTTATCGCAATAGCGGCTCAACGAAAGCAGATATTCGCAAACGGATTTAGGCATCGTTCATTGCACACTCTTCTTCATCGATTCAGCCAAACTCATTTTCAAGGTTGCCGTCCCCTTTAAGTAATGATGTGAGCCTATGTCGTCACCTTCCAGTCAAAGTATCACAAGCGCCATGCGACGTATAAAAATTTCTGCCGCGATTTTATTTTTTTACAGAGAAATTGTAGGTTGAATCTGTTTGAAAATTTCACTGAATTTTATCCGCAACAGAAAGAAAATTCGGTGAAATTTTCGGACAGCTTCCTTGAACAATTTCTCTGTAAAAAAATAAAATGGCAGCGGAAATTTTGAGACGTCGCATGGCGCTTGTGATACTTTGGCCAGAAGGTGACAATGTGTGCATGCATGTTTGTAGAATGCATAGGACATGATTGGCAGAAATCCACTAAATTATCATGGGTACCTGATCTTTTTGTGATTGTTCCCTGAGCTGCTGAAAATATTGCAAGTCGTCAGCAGAGGGAATGTTGCTAAGAGATTGGTCATTGACTAATTTGGCTTCGTTCAACTCCAATAACAGCGTTGTTTCTTCTGGCAGTAACTGAACAGGCAGACCTAAGAAACTGTTTTGCCTTGGTAGTGGAGCAAGTGATCCAATTGGGTTTCCTACTATGCGAAGTTCTGATCTCAACTTGTACCAATCTGAAAGTTAATAAATAAATATAATTCAGTGGTATTTACTTACTTAATTATTACACATTGAAAATTCTGCAATTGGAGTTTCTCAATTCCACAAACTTTAAACTCATTGGAAGAATTGAATGGAAGAGAAATAATGTATAGTAATATTAATTTATGATTATATTAATAAAATTAATATGTGTGGATGTCTGTTAATTTCTTTGAAAATTAGCCACTTTGATGCAGAGGCCCTGGTAGCAACGACACTTACTTAAAAAAACTTTTAAAAAAACTATTGAATTTCAAAAAGACAACTCATAAAACAACTGTTAAAATGTTCCAATTAGGAAACCCTTTTTGGGTATTTTCCTGAGTAAAATTTACAAACGATAAAATTAAAGTAAAACACTGTAGTTTTCCAACACTAAAAATGTCAAAAAACTACAGAAGAGATATTTTAAGAGTTTTTAAAAAACTTGTTTCCTTAAATTTTACTTCGTGTAGATTTTACTTTAAAAAATAGCCAAAAGGGGTTTCCTAATACAAACATTTAAATAGTTGTTTAAAATCCTCTTGCCAGTGATCTCCGATGCCCCAAAAGGGTAGAAAACTATAAACAAGACATTAAAGCCTGCCTAGGCACATTGTGATCTACAACAGCAAAAAAAAAAAGCTTCATTGTTAATTTTAAAAATGTTTTAAAAGATCATTGCTACTAGGGAGAGCATAAGATGCAAAGTATATTATATGCCAAATTTTGAGTGTGCTTAATTCTGCACAGATGAGATTAAATATTAAAAGCCATATTTGGTGCTTTACAGTAGCCTTGATCAAGACTTGACAATATCAATGTTCATTAGTCAGAGCAAGTGAACATAGTTTCTTCCATTCCACTGGCTGAAAGTGCAAACTTCATACTTCCTTGCCATTAAATAATGAACGGTTTGGATATTTAATACAGCACAAGAAAACGATTTGCCTGGCCAAATTGTAGTGTATTATGTAGCTTAGATGACAGTTGGATACATACCTTCGGCCGACCATACAAAGACGTCTTGACCGTTACTACAGCTGAGTTCAATCATATTGATCAGAGATGAGAGCGCACAAAAGTGAGAAAATGGAACCTGATGATGTGGGGAAATTCTTAACATGAAATGTGAAAAATTTGATCAATCTTATTAATTCTGACGCTAAAAATTGTGGTCAATCGTAGACACATCTTCAAAGAGAGAGACATAGCCCGATTGGACTTTAATGTACCAATCTCAGGAGACAAAATTCGCGAGAATATCACGGACAATTTTTGGTGAGATAATTAAAGACTTGATAAAAGAGAATATTAGAAAATTGTGGCTGCGTTCGGGGAGAACTCCTCTCTAAAACTATTCAGGAACTAAACTACTTGAAAAACATGTCAAAGAATAAACATAACCACAAAACTTTCTTGCCCGCCTTCCGGAAGTTTTGAGGAGATCGGAACAAAAAAGATTCCGGACAAAGTTCCGGAAAATCATCCGCCATCTTTGCGTTATCGCGAAAATGGAGCATTCATTACGTCATCCAATCCCGACACCCGCTTATCACTTATCATGCTTGGGCTGCTGAAAAGAGTAATTATTTAGTTAATTCAGCTTAACGTATGTACGCAGTTTCCTCCCTCTGTGTCGCTGGTTTTTTACTGCAAAGCGTTCGAATCGAACTTTATTCTACATTTATCATAGAACTGTAAGCACTATTTCGTTGATTTTGTGTTTGTGTCGTTCAAAAGTGCGTGCGAGGTATACAGCCTGAAGATGGAGAAGCAAGATCTGGAGTCAGGGAAGAAATTGGTCCCTGAAACTGGAGTCGCTAATTCCAAAGACATCGAAGTCAAATTTGTTCCTCCAGACCCGCGGAATGGTGATGCTAAAGTTGATATCGAAAATCTGAAATGTGTCTTCACAGGCATGGGCAAAGAGGAGCTGATGAAATATGCTGATGACCCATTTTGGGTCCGCCTTCGATGGTTCCTCTTTATTCTTTTCTGGGCCATCTGGATTGCAATGTTAGTAGGAGCCATAGGTATCATTGCTTATGCTCCCAAGTGTTCATCCGTAACCAAGTCTGAGTGGGAATTAAGTCCCATTTTCAAGATCAACGTCAGAACTTATGGCAACGGCAAGCTGAAAGGTAACACCCCTTGAGTTTATTTTAAAAAGAAACCATCCTTGTAGGTACTTGTGCCTATACCTCATGTATAACCTTTCTTTTCTTCCCTGAGCTAGTCTGACTTCATTCTACAATTAAACTTCATTCATTTAAGGGTGCTCAGTAGAATGTTTGGGTTGGGTTACATTGATTCTCTCCAATAATAGATCAGTGGCATAACACTTCTACAGAGTATCTTTTTTTTATTTTCACATTTTATTTATTTATTGAATTAATTAGCCTGCAAGGGCTAATCCCATCTGTCAGCATCTTATCGACAGAAACAAGAGACCCTCCACTGACTTCTTGGCGACAGGTGGAAGCTTTTACTTTCGGGGATTCAACAATTCCTTATGGACAATTATAAGGGAGCAGCAATCCACCTTAATTGCGGCTGTTGACCTACCTACTTGGTGGATGATGAGCTCTGAATGACATTAAGAGTCAAATAAGTTTCCTTAACTTCGGCCATTTTCGGCTTGTTTGCCAAACGAAACTGCCAACTCGTTGTTGAACATCAACCATGTAGGTAAGTCAATAGTAGAATGCGCAAGACCCGAAAGTAAAAGCCTCCACAATGGCCAAGAAAGAGCAGAGGGTCTTTTGTCTCTGCTTTTTGAGCACACCCTAACCTTTTAACCTAATTGCCTTGCTGGTGTCCCCCCACTGACCTGATTCTGTCACTCCCTAACTTATTTTTCTAATTCATATTTCCAGATTTGGAGAGCAAGTTGGATTACATCAAAAGTCTAGGAGTCAGCAATTTAGTCCTTTCCTCCGTTTTCAAATCAACCTCCAAAGTCGAAGCTGCCGATTATGTTGAAGATTTTGAGTCGGTTGATCCTTCAGTTGGAACCCCTGCTGATTTTGATGCTCTCCTCAAAGCAGCCAAGGATAAAGGTAAACGTAAATCACCTCTTTAAGAATATCCACCTGATAAGCCAGTCAAAGGTCACCAGTTTATCACATGCATCAGTGATCAGGATAACTGCCAGGGCAAACAACTGTTTCCATGCATAAAGATTTAAGAGGCAATCTTACCACGAGTGCTAGATGCCTCCTTCATCAATTTGAATCACATGAAAGCACATTTGGCTGTCAATAAATAAATATTTGACTCCACGCTTTGATGAACAAGACATTGCCTAGTTGTCAGAATAATTTGTTTAAATGCTTCAGTGCATCATACAACTTTAGAGTGGAGTAACAAGTAGACATAGAGATGGTTGATGGCGTACTTAGCAGTTTTATACTCTTTAAATACACCCATATGAATCGCACTTATCTTAATATTATTAGGTGCTTATCTTTCTTTTACTTCTATTAATGGTCTACTTACCCAGTTTTACAGCAATCACTGAAAATTTATTCCATTTTGTCCATATTGGAATCCAGTTCTAATCTCTTGTGTTTTCTCATGAAAAGTGGGAGTATAACAATAATTCAATGTTTATCTTTTCTCTCGTCAGGTTTGAAAGTGCAACTGGCATTAGTACCAAACCATTCCAGTAACAAGCATCCATTCTTTGAGAAATCTGTGAAGAGAGAGGTATCCTTTGCTGACTATTATGTTTGGAGACCGCAGAATGGAACTAACTCAGCTGGAGATCCTCAGCCCCCCAACAATCAGGTATACATTTCAACTGTACAATGAACCTTGATCACACTAATAAGAGTCTAAGTAGATTTTCATGCCCAAATTCTGTGGTTATTTAGATCCTTATAACTGCACCTACTTGGTGTGGAAGGAAAACCGTTCAGAAAGGCCCATTAATTTTTTGAATCATTGCATTCGGAAAATTAAGTCAAAGGTAATGCCTATTCTTTGAGTATACCCATTAAGCTTTCATTTTGTTTTGTCAAAAAAAAAAAAAATTATAAGTTTTACCCTCCCTACCATCATGCACCAATAGAGGTCTTTGCCGAAATAAGTAGAAAACGGGACTTGAAATGCTGTTTCAAATTAATGAGAGTCGTTTATCACCTATGTGCCTAAAACCCTCACAAGAAAAAAAAAGTGCCCACTCATGATAACAGTGGGCTGTTTTATTTTTATTTTTTTTCTAGTGAACATACCTAGTCTAGGTATTCTACAAATTCTGTGCAGTTGCATGAATCTCGATACATCTGTTCTAAAAATCAATATCAAGACCCTCATTTGTAACACCTCATTTAAGTAATTCTCTCCTCTTTAACATCCCCTTATTTCTAAGTGTGCTCCTACCGTAAAAAAAAGTTTGGTAAAGCCAAAAATTCATGCTATATATGGTAGAAACACATCAGTTACTGGCAATTAATCAAATCAAGCATTTTTTCAAATGCCTAGGCAAAGTGTCAAACATTCTCTTTTGAATGGAAAGTCAACAAATATTTCTATTCAAAATAATTATTCATCTTTTCAGATAAGAATTATTTTTAAAAATTTGCATCATTCGGTAGTTGGTGTAATGATTTTTAGCCCAGACTTGAACATTCATCTATAAAGATACAGTATTTTTAAAGTACAGAGTTTTTATAATTTTTATGGTTTAAGGTATTTACGAAGCATTTTGGAAAGAAACATACTTTTATAGTTAGTAGTTTTTTAAATTCACACTTTCAAAAGATTGAAAATTTGAGAGCTCTGTAAAAACACACCAGACTTGGTGAACTTACAAAATTTGACTATCTACCCAGGCATTTGATAATATCTAATTTGGCTATTTGCCTGCAACATCTAGTTGCCTTAGTCGAAGTTCAACTCTGTTAGGCAAAAATTCATAGGCGCTGACAAATTCAATACCCTCAGTCTAGTCACGAAAGTATGGATGGTGCTCCCCCTGTCACAGTTAACCTGTAGGCAAGATAAAAAAATAAGGGGCCTTAGAATGTTGCAATGAATCGTTTCACACATCTCTGATAAACTTCAGCTGCAAGTGGAACAAACTCAGCAGGAAGCCTCAATAGATCTGTGCCAGTGAGTGAGTGGGAAAAGATCTTCCCCAAAAGGCCTGTCTTGAATTTAATTTTGTACCTCATTGACCTTAGTCGTTACTCAGTGAGAGTTAATTAGAGATAATAGAACTGTCTGTTCAATTAAATTTATGAGTCTAGCACTGCTTGTCAACTTCTCTACAAATGTTGCAGCCTTCCCTGTCAAGTTTCTCTTCATTATGAAGCATATACTGCTGGGAAAGTTTTCTTTCTATCAGTTTACAGCACACTTTTTCTTCATTTAAGCTGTTTTAGAAATAAAAACCAGTTCAATACAGCAGTATCCTAAATTTTCCTCAAAGGTTTAACTCAAATCTAAATGCTTAATATTGTTGGAATCAATGGAAATTTTAGTACTGCGTGGAAAAAGAGAAAGGAAATGAAGGTTCAGACTAAGACATGAAGAAATTATGATCTCTTTTTTCGTTTTAAACTTGAAATCTTCCTAGTAGGTACTCTCTCTTTCAAGTTGATTTCTTTAACACCTTGTTCTCTTACATGAATGTCAGTTCCATCATAATTTTGTTTTATTTATTGCAGTTAAGTGTAAATGGAGGCTCAGCATGGACATGGAATGATGCCCGCAAGGAATTTTATTTCCATCAGTTCAAAGCGGATCAGCCTGATTTTAACTTTGGATACCCAGGCATTGTCGAGTATTTCAAGGTAATTCTTTTCCAGAAATTTTTTTGTTGAGATTTTCATACTTTACAGAATACGCTCATCTTACCGTAATTTTTATTTTTTGATTGGCAAATCACATTACGATTCACAAATTTCCAACATTATCTAAGCAAAGTCCACCAAAAGAATATAAAAGTAAAAATAATTGACTAATAAATGGATGTATTTCTGTCAAATGGAACTAAGCGCCATCGGGGGAGGAAGGTAGAGGGGGGCTTGGATTGGCGGCAAAGCCGGGCGTCAGGCTCATTCCGTCTTATACTCGCAATGCTTTTCCATGGCGCTTAGTTCAGTTTGACAGAACGCGCTATCCGGCTTTCTAAATTCCTTAAAAGGAACTCAAATTGGCGCTTAGTTCCGTTTGACAGAAATACATCCAAATGAATAAATGGTCATTCAAATAAATGGTAAAAATTTTCATTAATTGCGAAGAACTCATTTCTTTGGCTCTCCATTAGAATGAAACATTTCTCAAGTAGCGCGATTACGGGTGTGTCTACAGAAACCCTATGATTTAAGTTAAATTATTCCTCTTTTCAATTAACATAGCCATTTCTAAAAGAATATACTCACAATATGAACACTTTTTGCTTTGAAAAGAAAACAAAATAATGATCAATACCCACTATGTACTATGATGTGATTGTTGTGACAAAATTAATGAATACCATTTCAAAATGATTTACTTATTACAATTTTTTTTTTTAGAGTGTTTTTGGATTGTGGTCAGCAAAAGGTCTTAGCGGCTTCAGCTTGGAAAAAGTCCAGTACTTAATCACCGATCCTGGATTTAGCAGTGATTCATCGAAGATCACCGGGACCGACCTCTTGACCCTCAAGTCTCGACAACTTGTGAACATTCTACAAAGCTGGGAAAAAAGTGTTTCCAATTATTCTAGGTAAATTAATGTTTTTCTCTCACTCTTACCTCACTTGCTTTGTATATTTTCTGATCATAACGAAATCCTTGAATTTAGAGTATCAGATCCTAATTATTCCAGAGGAGACAGAATTCTATTTTCCAGCAAGCATTGTGTTCTCTTTGACAACATTTTTTCCGTACATGACGCAATTGCGTTAACCACTTGTTTCCAGGCGAGATGCCCTATATTTACAACAGCTTAGTGCTTGTAAATGAGAAAATGAATAAAAATTAGCAGGCTCGTCCTTATTACAAAATGTATTGTGCTCTAAATTCCTCAACCCTCGACCTAGAGGAACCACAATGATTTTCGACTAATTTTACTCATTTTAGGTACATGGATCTGAATTTTTGAAATAAGTTGTTGTAGTTTTGTGATTCTAATCTGTAACTATGATTTCAGTGTCTTGACTGTCGATGGTCTCATCAGTAAATCAGGCGATACAGTGACTCTAGTCTCACGCCCCCCTGCTCTGAATGACGTTTTCACTGCTGCCAACTTACATGAAGTTGTAAATTCCTATCTCAGCCACTCATCTTGGCCTGTCTGGCAGGTATGATTCAGTTCAAAGTGGGTGTTTGCAAAGCAGGCTTTTTCTAATACAAAATGAATCAGTGATATGCTTCATGAAGCATAAAGCCGTACAGTGCGCAGAAATATCTCTGTTCCAAAACTTGGACTAGGCGATGAAACGATTAAAAACTTATCTAACAAAGATGCACAAAATTTTGCATCTGATTTTTGATAATATTGGTATTCATGCTCTATTTAATCCGAAAGTTAGGGGTCAATAGTCTAGAGACCCCTTTATCTCGTGATTTATAATGACCCAAATTCTGGCTAAAAATCCCAAAATTCTTGCTAAAAACTACCGAATTCTTGCTAAAATTTATCGCATTTTTCGAATTCTTGCCGAAAAGTCTAAAATTCTCGCTAGCAACTGCCAAATTCTTGCTAAAAATATTTTTTTTTTTTCATCTCTTATTTTAAATTTTAAAAACGTGGTTGGCAGCGCCAGTGGTTTACTGCGCAATGAAGCACAAATCTACGATTGATCGACGACGGAAACGGAAGTTTTACGAAGTTTCCCGCGTCCCGTCCACTGGAATGATCGGCGGCTCCGAACAGGATAAAGATAATTTTTCTGCGAATTTTCCAGCAACAGCGCAAATTACGTCGGAATTCGCGATTTGTTGTGTAAACTGGCGAATTCGCGTCAAATGCCGAAATTCTCGATTACATTTTGGAAATCATTGGAACTCCATATTGCCTCTGAGCTTGGTGCAAGTGCTCAAAAACGGCTTTTTGAAAATTCACGCAAACGAATCTCTGGGGTCTCTAGTCATACACTTCTCCAAACCTCTCAGTGATTACAGCATCAAGTATTTCAGTCATATGTCATCATAATTTAAGTTGATGTTAATGACTTTCTTTAACTCAATTATTACGTATTTCCCTACATTTTTGCCATTGTCCTCCTTTTTTCAAGCGTAACATTCGTTTTGTTTGGTAGGATAAAACAGCACTCATAAGTAAAGTAAAATTCACTCAGTTCTTTCTATGAAGATGAAGGCCTCAATTTTTTCTTGCTGTTTATGAAGGAAACCATCAGTTTTTCATGTTCTATTTTTTGCAATCCCTACTTTTTGCTCTACTTGGTAATACACATCAGTTACCTTTTCAATAACAGCATGCGACTAAAGTTCCTGTCACTATTGTTGAATTTTCATTAATGAGATTGTAATTATTATGAATGGTCAATCCTCCTATTCATGATAGAAAAGCTGAATCAAATCTTCAAGTACCTTGAATGAAATGACTAACACCACCAACGATTTCTAACACCCATGCCGTAGAGCTGCTGTAAATGTTTTTCCCGTCTCCTAATACCAAATTATTTTTTTCTGATGACTCATTCTGCTCCTCCTCATTTTACATTGATACTCCGGTGCCGAGGAAAAACGCTGTATGAGCCTTTATGCGTTGTCAAATTTCCTTTGACGAATCACGAATTGCCAGGAAAATTGGTAAATATTGTTTTTCTAATTTTTCAGAGAATTTTGTTTATAGGCTAATCAAAATTATCTGTAAATTTCAAGGAAAAATATTAATAACTTTCCTCAAAAATAAATATTTTGTGGGAAGAAAGTTGGGAACTATCGAATGTTCATACATCGTGTTTCATGGGCGCGGCAAAACAGTCCACGGAAAAAAATGAATTATGTCTCGTTGTTTCTTTGTGGGGTAACGCAATGACACAGTTTTTTCTTTCATTCCAGTTTTCGTGCACAAAATCTGCTAAATTGGAAGAGTGCTGGAAGCCAAATGTGAAGAATGCTCTGCAGATGGTTTCAATACTTCTTCCAGGAACACCCATCATAAATGCTGGTGATGAGCTGAGTGGTGGTCTCATCCGACCGGAACATGGTCTTCCGGTCACTGGTATGCAAAAATATTTGTACTGTAGTTCTCTATCTTGTCTGAATGTATTTGTCTTTCTATGAAACAAGTACATAGGATGTCCCAAAACAACCGAGACCAAGTCTGTAATTCCGTAACTATGATAGATATCAAAATGCGATTTGTGGGAGGCTGTAGTTTATACTATTAGCTATCAAACTTCAAAATTTGAGCTGATTTGGTTGAAAACTCACCGAGTTATCGCAATTTTTGGGGGACGAGTTGCAAATAACCCTACAGGACTTTCTAATAATTTTTCAATCGGCGAACTGTTCCTGAGCCTTGCTGCAGGTTGCGACACTACAGATCATGTGAAGGAATCATGTGGACACTGTTCTGGATGCAGGTTTCAACCTTCTAAAACGTGTTTTCATCGCAATCGAGACATTTGTCCACGGCCACAGTGCCGATGTTGGCCTCTGTCGCGGAAGTTGACGGCCAGGTGCCATGTAGAATCAAAGCTGCCGATTCTCAACCCTCGGAAAAGCATTTATGCCAGCGAAGAATGGTACTTTTGCCAGGTCGATTAAATCCATAACCAACTGTCATCTTATTCAAAGTATCAGTGGCAAAAGGGCCATGGCAAATGCAATAGCGAATGGCATAACGTTGTTCTTGTTTCAACTCGGCGGACGAGCTTATTGCGCTTCGCGAAAAAACACTTTGTTATGCTAGACGGTTTTAGCTGCACTGAGATCTCATATGGACAAAGTGACTCGATTGCGATGAAAACACGTTTTAAGAGGTTGAAACCTGCATCCAGAACAGTGTCCACATGATTTCTTCACATGATCTGTAGCGTCGCAACCTGCAGCAAGGCTCAGGAACAGTTCGCGGATTGAAAAATTACTAGAAAGTCCTGTAGGGTTATATGCAACTCGTCCCCAAAAAATTGCGATAAATCGGTGAGTTTTCAACCAATTGAGCTCAAATTTTGAAGTTTGACAGCTAATTGTATAAACTACAGCCTCCCACATCGCATTTTGATATCTATCATAGTTATGGAATTACAGACTTGGTGTCAGTTGTTTTGGGACACCCTATGTACTTGATTTCATTCAAATGAGCGAGTATCAATCACCGCAGGTTCCTTCTGAAATACAATTGACCAAAAGCAGGGTTAAAATGAGCAACTAGACAAGGTGCGCAGTAGAAAAAAAGTACATGTTTTCTCTTCAAAATCTTATATTGCAAACAATCTGCACTACGGACAGTCTTGAAATCAACTCCTGATCAAGATATCACCAATTCTTTTAAACACAGATCAAATAGAAGTTCAATTATACAAATAACGTCTTTTGTATTTTTGCCATTTAACAAAATGCCGTAACAAATGAGAAACTACATAGCACTGTGCTTTAATTCACACTATGTCTAGAGGCCCATTATACATCTAAGAGACATATTCCTCTTTCAAAATTTCTTGTAGAACACATAGAACGCATCTAAAGCTGCCAAAATTAACCCTTAAGTGAGATGTGTTTTTGTAGTTTACATTATAAAACAGTGAACTTTAACTTCCCACTCAAGAAAAAACCATGATCAACATAGGGTAATTCAGCCTTGGAAAACACCCTATAAGTTACTTACTTTCTTACTCATTTTCTTCCCTCTCTGGCATAAGACATCTCCAAGTAATGTAGTCAAAAAGAAGTCAAAACATAGGGAAAGTTTTCGATCATGAAGTTTAGTGTCCATCTTAGATAATTAATATTGGTCACTAAAAATCACGCACCTACCATTGTTCCAAATGGGGCTCTAGACAAGGCATGAATTGAAACACTTCGCAAGATGTTTTCTCTTCAAAACTTCACTATGAAAACGAATCACGCAAGGGGAAGTCTACAAATCAACTCCTTAATGAGATGTAAGTGTTCAAAATCAAGATTTGTAAAATGGCAATAATACAAATGACATCATTTGTACAATCTAACTTCTATTTAATCTGCGTTAAAAATATTTGCTAACATCTCGTTCAGGATGTTGTTTTTCGAAATTCCCGTTGTATGATTTCTTATCTCTGTAAGTTATTGAAGAGAATGCATGTGACGTTAATTTCTAGTTCAGGCACCATCTAGTGGTCCCTTCATTTTCATCATTCTGCCGCCTAGTATTTCGTAAAGTGGATTTGCACTGCACCAAGCGCTGATTAGTGATTGTTCAGTGAAAACTAAAGTTTTGGGAGCCCAGCCTTCTACCAGCAGTAAATTAGCAAATTTTAAATTTTATGAGGTACGCCTCCTGTTTAACTCTATCATTTTATAATCAGTTTCAGACACTACTCCCCCTCCGGCAGTGAGCAATGGAAGTCCCAAACTAGTTGAAGCAGGCAGCACTAAACAAATTCTTCAGAAACTCGTAGAAATTCGAAGCCTGCCTGCATTTGCACAAGGAATCTCTGAAGCAAAAGTGCTTCATGACCGATTGTTTGCCTTCACTAGGTGAGTCAATTCGATAAATTACACGGTAGACGAAGGTGGACAATCGTCAATTTGCCGCTTCAGCAAGCAGCTTTTTTCGCCATTTTTTACAATTTTTTTTGGACAAAGTCCATCGGCAAAAACGTAGTAATAGGGGTCCGATGATTTTGCATGAAAAATCTCTTGTTCACACTCCTAGCTTAATCTAGGTGAGACACAACGTGACCTTCCCTTGTTAGATGAATTTTCTGCGTAGAGAGCAAGGATAAACTTTTTCCGATAAACTTTTTTTCAGGAATGTTTTTCAATCGAGCTCTTCAAAAGAGAACTCTCATTTTCAGCGGTAGGTACAAGGGGAAAAGCAGCACTAAGCCTTATTGAGAAGCGAGACCTTGCAAACTGCACCCAATGCAGTTTCTCTTTTGTATGTGTGCGTTTTCTGATGTGATTTTCTAGCTTAAAATTGACAAGAATTAATTAAACCCTCTGTGTACCCCTTGCGTTTTAAAATATTACAAAATACTTTTATGTAGGGAAAATTTTCTCAAATTTTTGTAGTAAATTTTTCAAAAATTGTCTATTTTTGTCAAAGAATCAAGAACTCCTGAGTAGGTAGCTAAGGACTTGCCCTGTTAAGAAATGTCTTTTCAGTTCCTCACCACTACCTTTATCATGAAGTGATGTTTTCTTCTCTTTTTTCTAGAATAAAGAGAGGTAGCCTCAGTTTTTTGGTAGCATTTAATCCCACCGATGAAACAGTTTTTGCTGATTTCTCTGAAATGAAGAGCATTCCCTCTGACCTGACTGTGGAGGTTTGGTCTCGACTGCTTTCACCGTTTCCTATCAAATTGACGTAAGTCTCTCTTCCAAGTTCTTAAGTTAATTTTGAAAATAAATCCAGTCTTCTAAGGGTGTCAAAAATTAAGCTAACACTCTGATCTACTCTAGTATTTTGGAAAACCTGGAGGAAAATCTGTTCAATCAAAATTAAAACTGTGCGATTAAGGATTTTCGAATTTGATTACAATTAAAGAAATTAACTGCAATTACCATTACAATTGGGAATAAAAGTGCATAATGATACAATTTTGACATCTACATCTTTTTGTGTGATTTTTGTCTTTTTGAATATGAAGTTAAGGTAGATTCTTGAAGAATTTTTCCAAAGACTGAGAAAGCTGATAATATTCCTCCGCTATTTTTTTCCCCCTCTTTTTTTTAGTGTTGATTCATTATCGTTTATTTCTAAAGAAACAAATGTCAAGAGACAAGAGATAATTGGATTGTAGGGATATTTTCACAGGGTTGTAACCATGTTTAGTGCAATATTTACCGTTAGAGACTTACAGTGCGCTTCCGTAGGTTCAAGATAAATTCGAATGAACTTGACAGAAATGTCAAATAAAAAAGGGTAGACAATGCAGAATCTCATGAATTCAAATAACAATTCAAATTCTACTCCTGACTCGGCAATGGACGACCAGACAAGGCACGAATTCAAGCATTCTGATACATGTTGCTTAACCAGAATTTTACGTAGAACACGATTCGCGCAACGAAAATTACTGAAACTAACTCCTGATGAAGATATTAACCTATTTATTTCACATTGGTTACGCGGATTTTGAACTGCCCGCTCACAAGAAACTCAAAGCTCTATGTGAGTCAAATCGCGCACTACAACAGTTTCAGCAAGCCTCTCAATCGAGCACTGTTCATTTCCCACCATGTGTTGTACAAATTATAAGCAATTTGCTACAGCTGGCCCAAACGTCAAAATTGAGGTTGCCAGATTTTCATATCGCAAAGACTGTCGTGATAATGTTCAGTGCGCGATGTGAATCACGTAGAGCACTGAGTTTTATTGAGCGGGTGGTTTGAATTCACGCATCAGGAATCATTAAATATCTTTGTAAGGAGTTGATTTCGGTAATTGTTGTTGTGCGCATCGTGTTCTACGTAAAATTTTGGTTAAAAAACATGTATCAGAATGCTTAAATTCGTACCTTGTCTAGTGGTCCATTCCTATATTTTCTGATGCTCCTATCTCTGTTAATAAGAGCTCTGAAATTTGAAAATGAATTTGCTCTATAAGTGCCTCTTTCAGCTGTCCATTTCACTTGTCATTCTCTTACTTTCCCATGTAGTCTTTCTTCTCTCATGCCAAAATTATTTTTTTCTGTTCACTCTCTGCCTAAAATATAAAATATTAGTCAAGTCTTTCATTTAAAACCCTAACATGTGAGACGTCATTCTCAACGTGAGTAATTTTCTGTTTGAAGATTAAACTTACGATGCTTAAAAATATCTTAATTTGACTCATTTATTCCCATAGCCCATCTGTGAATTTGAGACTAGATGCCACTTAGAGGCAACTTGAAGGAATTGCTTCCATGTTTTTTTTTTTTTTTTCATTTTAATTTTCCAACTTTCTTAATTTGTTTTTTCAGCGACACGATTAGAAGTAATGCTGCGATAATACCCCCGGAAACAGCTCTTCTTGTTTCTTTCATGCCACAAGTGTAAACACCACTCCACATTTTTGCCTCGCCATGTGTAACCAAGACAATAATGAACCTCTCATGAGTCATCGGTTGTGCTCCACATATATTATGTATCCTGACATTTTATTCATAGCTATCATCGATTTTTTTCTTGCATTTAATTTTTGCCATTAATTGATTAAAAGGATTGCATTTAAATTTCAAGTTTGAATTTTTTATTTTTAGTTTCATGTGGTTTTAAGAAAAGGGTAAAATCCTTTGACCGCCCACTGTTTCTACGTTAAACATGAATGCTAAACTTTACAGCAGGCCATGTTTAATATTGTTCAGTCTCGCAGTGTTTTTCAAGTTAATGGTGTGCATAATGCTAGGATACAAAAGGCTAGCAGGAGCAATAGAGCTACTTAAGGTACTTAAGTCATGACTAAAAAATGTAACTGGATAAAACTTATTTTTTTCCTTTTTGTACACACATGTACAAAATTTTATTTTTAATAACAGCCAAGTTTGAGAAACATTAGAAATAATGTCAATATATTGAAAACTGTCTCTTTGTTTCAACTCTCATCACAAGATACCTCGAGATAGTTACGTAAATGTGACATCATGTTTTTCATATAAAATATTAAGTTCAACAGTTCAATTTCTAATTTCATACAGACAATTCCTGATTTAGAGTTTCCGATAAAATGTAAGTTTGTAGAAGAAAAGCTGGTGGGTTGTGTTGATTTTGATAGATTCTAGATACGTGAAAGACACCGAGAGCAGACATGTGTATTAAAAAAAAGAAAATTAAAAAAATGAACAGTAACTCATGCTCTCTTAAGGGATTTCTTGTTGCTTTAAAAAAACTTATTGTGTATAGGAGGACCCTGCCTCTTCTTTTATGGTCTACTGCTCAATGCGAAAATTACAGACAGTGCATTCAAATCAGGGAGGAACTTTTCCTTATGGAAAAAGTGTACATCCTCATGAGTAAAAATTTAAATCAATCTTTAAAAGGTCTAAAAATAAATACAATATACTTTCTTAAAAAAGTAAAGGTAAATACCTTACCTGAGGTCACAGGGATAACCATGTAATTATCCAATATTGAATTTTGAGCCCCCTGTAGTAACTTTCATTGAAGTTAATGACTTAAGAAAATACCAAAATCATTAGTGGACTATACTTGGAATACTACGAAATTTGGCGCCAGCTAAGGATATTTTTTGATGATGTTCTGTGTAACCTCCTGAATACGATGAGCTTTTAAAATTAAACTTCCTTTGAGCCATTCTCAAGAAAAGCGGGACTGAAAGGTGACTTTTTCGACTTTCAACACTCGACCTTCTTCCAAAGCTGAAGAATCGACTAACCAGTCGATTATTCAGCCTGATAAAAGGCAATGCGTGGCTTCTTTGGGCACTCAAACGACAAGACTGACTAATCATATAGCTCCATTTCACCGCAGTCTTGTTTTGTCTACCAGACAAACAGAAAATTTCATTAATTAGACTGCAGTGAGGAAAGAAAAGATCTCTTTGGTCACCAAAAAGATGTTGCAACATTCCTACTTGATATTGCATGCAATAATGCCGAAAAATTCACTTTTCCGCCCCGCTCTTCTCGAGTCTGACTAATTGAAAGTTTTATTAAAAAAGTTCATTGTGTTCAGAAGGAAGTAATGGAATATTGAAAATTAACCGACGCCAAATTTCTTCGTATTCCAAGCTCGGTCCTTTCTTTTGGTTTTCAAACGCATGGTTAGCATACTGGAAGCATTTAACATTTTACAAAAACCAAGATCATCTTCAGAGAACTAATTTTTATCAATTTATCGAGAACGTATTTACTCTTTTACTACTATCTCACAATTTCAACTATGAAACTGCTACGGTTAGTGGTTCATTTACTCACTAACCAAAAAAAGGCTCTTTATACAAGCTCTCATTGTTGACATCAGGACTCAAAAATCATTTTCTAATATAAAGAACATAACACTTGAAGCATTGGAAATTCCTCGCACTTAAAATTTTGGAATTCAAGAAATTGTCCAGCAAACATGTGACCATCTCCTTTCCTCTGTTCATGATGCTGTTTTCCATAGATTGAGAAAAGAATGTGTTGTGTAGTTTTGAGCCCATGATGATTGATAAAGTATTAGTAGGTGTGATAGTAGCGACAGTGCCATTCATTGCCCAAGGATGTTGTGTTATGAAACGAATGGGAAAAAGGAAAACGTGCATGTGTCACGGAGCTACCCAGCAGAAAAACGACAGATTTCCTCATTGATCTGATGATGTCATGTCCGCCAACACGTAATCAACATGTAATACTTTCTACAGGCAGTAAGTTGAAAACATAATTATGAATAGGAGAAGAAGAAATTTTTGAAAATCATAGTATCAAAAATGAAACAATTTTAAGTATGAGAACTTCCTGATGCTTCAAGTTTAAAATCATTCATGCTACTATCAGAACCTGCATCAGATAAGTCAGCTTTTGCTAATTTTTTATTTACGAATGGCCAATTGGCTATGATCGGAACAGAAGGTTGATCAAAAGCATCAAATATAAAACATAAATCGGTCCATACAGCCCCACATAGCACAGAATCTTATGTCAATACTGATACATATTGTTGGATGTTGACATGATATCACCAACACTAATGCAGTATGATATTAAGATTGTCGGTTAAAAGGTATACCGCGTCAGCATGAATATAACACTGATACCTTCAATATATCAAACAACAGTATTGAGTCAATGCTGACGAGGTAAAAAAAAAAAAAAATAACACGAAAAGAAATTAACACGAAAAAATGAAAAAAAAAATATAGGAAGAAAAAGAAGCCTAAGAAAACACGGTGTTAATCAAAGTTATGATGAAAGTCGAGCCGCGGACTGATGCTATGCATGCTATGACAGCCTTAACAGGCGTGATTTTAACCTGAAACACCATCAGCTCCCTGTGGCTCAATGGCAGAATACTGGGCTAGGAATTCCGCGGTTCGGGTTCAAATCCACCCGAGGGCATCCGGGTATCTTACGCTACTAAACGTCGCAGGACATCAAGTAAGTGGTTCATAATATTCAATACTAGTATACTTGTGTAATTCATGTTTCAAGTGTAATACATGTGTAGTACTATGAAAATGACGGTCATGGTCTGAACTTTCATATCTACTTGACAGAGTGCGCTGAGTGTACAGACGTGTCAGTGTCAACGTAGTAACGCATACATATTGTCGGTGTCCTGCAGTGTTCTGATGACCTTGTCATAACCCTGATTTCCATATGAAATCAACCTTTTCGGCCAATACTGTAACAATATTTTGACAGCTTCAAATCAGTAACTAATAAATACTGGCATAGTCTTGATATAATATTAAATCAGGATACATCAGCATTATATAAATACTGACACTACTGACGTGTCAGTACTCTTGTAGTATTATATCAATATTCTGTGCTATGTGGGGCACAAAGGTCTGAATAACAACTGCCAATTTATCTGGTGCAAGTTTTGCCGATACCTGAGAGAGGAGAGATTTAAAAAAAATCATGAATTTTATAAATATATACAGAAAAAACTTCCATGAACACGAAACTTGTAGGTTTGGAACTCAAAACAGAAAAATAGAAAAGAAGGATGAAACACAGTCCGTTCCAAACGAAAATGAAGAGCTGGTCATGCATTCAATTAATCCGCGGAGTCTTTGAAAGTAATAGACTTAACAATACTGAAATCAACAAGAAATTTTCAAAAATGTGCAGTCATTCTGTGAACATCAATTATATCTTCTAGCAAATCATCCACTTTAGATCCGATCTTTCTTCCAACTTCTATTCGTTCTTTGATTGACAAGTTCAAAAATACAAAAACCAATTCTCCATCGACAATGCCTCTTGAAGGATTACCAAGAAGTCTTCTACTACTTTTGAACACTCTGTAAAAAAAGAAAGAAAGCAAAATGCATTGAAAAGATGAAATCATTACCACAGTTTAGTGTCAGAAACTATTTACATGGTTTAAATGAAAAACGATTAATTAAAAAAATAGACATTTACATGCTTTTTTCCTCTTACAAAAAAAACTTCATGTCAAGAGGGTAATTTTGAGGTCCTACATGCTATACTCCTCTTTTTAAAGTATCCATACTGAGAAAAATGTATTTGTGCTCGTTGTTCTTTATAATTTTATCAATCAAAATTGAGTCATGGGAAGGTTGGGAGGTTAATTTTCCGGAATCGTCATTGGTGCTTTCACTGCGAGACCTAGATACGTGATGACAGTGTTGAAAAAATACAAAGCTTTCAGGATTGCTCATTAAGCTCTGACCATTCAGTAAAAAGAAATTTTAAAAAAATAATTTTGATTTTTGAAGAAATATTTTCTGCTTTCGCGAAGTAATATTTGAAAACTTTTCGATAAAAAACATACACTTGTTTCAGGATATCAAGATCAATGCTAAATTATCCTGGATTTAAAATTAAATCTAGGTCTAGGAAACCACAACGGGCAGAACTACACGAGGTGCAGGCTGTGATTCAAACACCATCAGTAAAATTTATCAGTAATAAGCCCGAAACCAAGGAAAAATAATAAGATCAAAAGATTCAATTACCTATAAGCCCTAGGATTGAGAGCAGCTGTATGAGGAATATGTGTGTGCAAAACATTTTGCAACATAAGTAAGCGCCGGTAAGTTTTCTCCGAGACTGGTAGAACAAATCCAAGCCCTCCATCAAGTGTTGCGAACATGGTTACATGGCGTTTTTCAAAAACCACCTTTTTGTCATCAGGCAAATCGCTTGTTCTGCATCGAATCCTAAAAAAACTATTAATGTGTTGACCTACATGAAAATCAGCCTTTCTAAGTAACTTTTGTCCACCCATACTCTCCAATGACTCAGGCTGGTACATGTATAAAACTATATTCTTTTCTCTATCTGAAACTAGAAAGCCCATTTGAGAATTTTCCAGGAGAAATTCAACAGCATAGATTTCGGCCGGTCGGAAATCGCGACTAACAAGAGATAAAGTTCTGTACTCTTCTTGAAACCTAAGCAAAGTGATAGACTTGTAGACATCAGCTATTAATATTAAACTTTTTATACACAATAATTGATGAACATACACTTGCGTATCAATAAAGGCTATTCCAACTAAATCATTATCTTTCAATTGCCAAATGTATATTTTTTGACCAACAGCTGATACTAAAAAACCCAATACGTGATTAATAGCGGACACAGGGCCTTTTTGCTCTTTGGAGTATAGAACTTTGATCTTGTTTTTTGTCAAAGGTTGCCCAGGCTCAGGTACAACTTCAATAATGTCGAACAACAAAATTCTTCCTTTACTTGTGATATCCTCTGAGTAATTGTAGTTGGTGCCGACAGCCATGTAACCTTTGAAACCACTTCTAGTACCTTCATATGCCAATGAGACGTTTTTTAAACACAGAGCATGTTCCCACTCTTCAAGCTCCACATTTGTGTTGGGAATAAGTTCCCATGAAACTGGCGAAAACAGGTTAATAGTAAATTTATCAAGATAGGGCCATGGAAAACGTTCATCACGTTCTTCTGTTGACAACTCTTTGTCTTCACCATTGAATTTGTAATACTTAGTTGTCAGCTCTGCTGTGCTTGTTACAATACAGTATGTTTTCGTTTCAAGATGGTAAGCCACAAAATGAGGAGTGCAGCGGACAGGAACTTTGCGAACTGGCCATGGAGCATCGTAGGAAAGATGAGTGGGAAGGATGCTTATTCTAAGCTCTGATTTCCGGTTGAAGTAGACAAAACCTTGTGGACAGTTAACATTGTGGAATGGGGCAAAGCATGCAACTGGTCCATCGATACTCATGGGATGAGTTCTCAGTTCACCTCTAGATGTCAGAAATAGCCAGTGAGGAGCTGGTCCCGAAATGAAGACACCATTGTACCCAGATATATCACTGAAATAGCGCATTTGAGAAACAAAAACTTCATCGCCTCTCTTCCTTGCCGTTGACAGGCCTCGAAATATTATATTGTGAGGAATCTTGGAGAATCTTAGCTTAAGGCCACCTTTGCAATGCCTGAAAACTTGGTAAATGAAAAGTTCCTCTTCCAAACGAATCAATAGCAAGGGCCGGGATCCTCGATTCCCTAATGCAACAAGAAGAATTTCTCTCATGCTGCTTTCTTGACTTGGAGTATCACTTGATCTCAAAGCTGCAACTTCAGGGTAATTGTCAATGAGACTATCTTTCATCACTTGACTGCCATTGTCTCCATCCACTATTGCATAGCAAAATTTAAAATCAGGAACTGAATAAATTTCAAGGAGTCCATTTTGGCGCGCTAAGACGAGCCAGTAGGTTGGTTTTAATTCAAGTAAATACTTTTGCCACCAGTAGCTTTGTTGAAAATTAGATCTTATGTTGAAATCAGAGGGTTGGAAGGTATCTGAATTCAAGGGAGTAGATGAGTCACCATACAGTAATTCATCCTCATCATCTACGGATCTAGCATTCTCTTCTGATCCTTTATTTTTGGGCTCATGAATATCTTTCTCATGATCAGGAATCACTCGAGTGAAGAGTCCACTTACGTCTCTGTACAAACAGAAACATGCTGTGTAGGGCTTCAACGGGATTTGAGAAGGCCGCGTCACAACAAGTTTCCATGTGCCTAGACGTGATTCTCTGAGAGTCAATAAAAGAATCTGCCGATCCTCTGTAAGAATTATGACATATGGATCTGCAAGCGAAACTTGGATGAGAGGTGATCCCAAGTCTAGAGGGATATGCTGTACTTGCTCTGCCCCTTGGAGTAATCGCACCCCATTTGGTGAGACTTGAATGATGAACTTGTTACCTCCTAGATTGCCAGCAAATATTGTCGGGTCTTGCGTAAAGAACCCTGAATTCTCTACCTCATTAATTTCAGTGTCTGTTTTGAGGACCATTGTGTTGTCTGCTTGACTAAGGATGAGGAAAGAGTGAGCTTGTTCATCAAAAACTTTTTTGTCATTTCCAATGACAGTCCACATGTCAAGACATCCTGGCAGTTCGAAGGTTGTGATAACTTGAGGGCGCAAAGAGCGCTGCAAGACGCACAGTGCTCCATTCTTTCCGTACCCTGAAGTGGTTACAAGCTCCACATCTGGTTCAGCAGTATTTATGAATTCTTCGGAGAGAAAAGCAGGTTCTCCCATGGAAACTTGTCCGATTGGACCTACATTCAAGAGACTGTCACAAACCTCGAAAACATACGATGACACAAGTTGTAAAGATGTTGCAGTTTCTGTGCCGTAAACTTCTAGTTCATCAATATCACGAATATCTGACACATCAGATGCCATCCAGTCACCAAGAGCATCCAAACGTCTTTTCTTTGATGGTTGGTCTCCCGCTCCTAGAGTATTGGTGACAGTACTTTGTTCTTTAACATAGAATTTCAGTAAGAGGGAGTTACCAAGACGCGACCCTAGAAACAAATAGCTGTCTTCCCATAAACAAAGACAAATTGTAAGAACACTTGCAGCAGATTTTTCAAAATGAAAATTTCTAATACTCCTCATACTGTCAACGAACAAAGTCATCACATACAATTCACCACCTTTCAAGGAAATGACCAACTGATTGGTGGCAATGAAAGTTCCTTTGGCTCCTTCCAATGTCATCACAACGCCTTCTTGCTTCTTTAGTGGAAAGCTTGTGCTTTCATGCGCTATACTGTTTAAAGAGACACCATAAGGAGGAACACTTTGATTTAAATATATCATAGAGTTGATGGCAAAAATTAGAACACCGCCTAGCGGTTTGGAGACAGGAATAGCCTGCGAGCAATCAAATGGTAAATTTGAGACTGACCAAATGACTGGGTGGACTTTTTGATGAAGATTCAATGATATAGCTACCATGACACATGTATCTCGTCTCACTGATATTCGCCTGAAAAAAAAGAAGCAGAAATATAAACAAGGTATTCATTCAAAAATTCCTTCATAAGATTAGGTTACATTTCTAGGTTTTGTCTGGTATAATAAATATATACATTGTTTGATGATCAGATCAATGTATTACATATATGTGTGGATGCATTCTTGCAAATGCTTGCTCTAGTTCATTTTTATGATTTTAAATTTAGTTTTCATGATTTTTTTGGCTTGGCTTTCCTCTTGGGATAGAGTGGATTTAGCGCTAATATGACACCCTGTTTTACATCTTATTTATATAACTGAAAGATGCTACAAATTTTGTTGACTCGACACTTATATCTAATTTGATGACCTCTCAGGTATTGAATGAGTGCAGAGAGAGTTTATACAATGACAACTATCAAAATTTTAGATTCTCCCACATCCAAACCGGTCATTTAAAAAAAGTTGGAGCCACATGAAGACAATGTAATTTTTTCTAAGATAGTCTCTCCTGTAAAATACTAACTTCCTTGATAAGCTTTAATTTTAAGGGCCAACAGTGAAGAGAGAAATTAGAGAGAATTTGAGCGAATAAAATAAGGAATCATGATTTACCCTGAGAACGTTTTCATTGGCTCATAGAGAATTAAAAGTGTTGGCTCGTAGTATCCATGTAGAAACTGGATGTCTATGACGTTATCCATTTTATCTTCCACCTCTGCTAAAGTCACAATGTACGAGTCTAAAATCTGATCTTTTGACTCCTGGCTCAGTGTTTCAGGATCATCAAAAACAGTTTCTTTCCGAAAAGGCAGAATCAAAAGTTTCCGACCGTAAAGGAGCATCACAGCACACCGACCCTCTGGATCAACTCGCAAAGATGGGATGTGGTAGTGTTGAGTCCAGCCACCCTGCAAAATTCCACAACAATACATTCCATACTATGGTGATACTTGAACAGTTTATCACTTTAAGATTTGTAAGTCTCTTACATACTGCAGTTACTTTCCGAGGATTGATAAAATTTTCATGGCTTCAATGAAAATGGGAGTTAGAAAAACCAGATACTCTGTAAAATTGCCTTAGTTGCCTCTCTGATTAAATGAAATTAACGTTGCTGTCGGCAGCATATCAATGATCACAGTCCAAAACTACGTACCTCCATTGTGATCTTTCAAAATTTTCATTCTATTATTATTTTTTTGACAAGAGACAGGTCAACTTCCTACCTTGAAATGTATACAGAATATTTTGATGATAAAGAGGAAAAATGAAGGAACTTTCCAAGAAATTATGTTGACTGTTTTTCCAAGGGCTTAAAAAAGAATTTTGACAGGAAGTCTAGGACGTTGCGACCAGAGATACAAGGTTTTGTACTTTGGCGATTGACATTCCTCTTATTAAGTCTATTCCTTTGATTACATTAGTTAGATTGCATTTTGCAAAAAGGAACCAAGAGCATTTCAATGTTGCTACGATTGTGTGACTTAACATTCTTTGTAACAAAATCACTGAAATCCAGAAACAATGAAATTTACAAAGTTATTTTTTGTCTTGAATTACTATTTTATTGGGAGGAAAGATAAAACGTGTTTGGATGATCGGTTTATACTTAGAAGGTAATAAAGTTGCACAATCTTAGCGACATTGGAATGCTCTTGGTTCCTTTTTGCAAAATGCGATCCATTTTTTGTTATGCGCAGAATTTTGATGTTGCCTCAGATGAATATTTGATGACTTATATATGGATTGCATTTTGCAAAAAGGAACCAAGAGCATTCCAATGTCGCTAGGATTGTGCAACTTACATTCTTTACAATACAATTACTGGAATCATGCAAAAAATTAAATATACGAAGGTAATTTTCGTCATGAATTTATAGTTTATTGAGAGTAAAGGTGAATCTTGTTTAGATGATTAGTTTATATTTGCGAGGTAAACCAAGATGCACCATCTTAGCGACATTGGAATGCTCCTGGTTCCTTTATTCAAAATGCAATCCATATAATGAATGGTGTCTCTGACTGCCTATTCCATTGTAATTTTCTTTCTGTGTGAAAAAAAAATGAAAAAAACCTCTTGCTTTGCAAAATGGTAAGAGAATCTCGGTGAAAAAAGGCAATCCCTTCACAGAAAAACAAAACCTTACACCAAATCCAAGGCATTTAAGCCTGTAGGATATTTACCAATATCTCTGCTTAAAACGGTTGTACAAATACAATATATTAGCAAAAAAGGAGTGATAGAGGTAGCCACCAAAAAGTACGATTAAAGACAGATAGACGGACAGAAAAAATTTCAGGTAGAAGAAAGGCAAAGAAAAATCTGAATACTCACTTTTGTGTCTTCTGTCTCAAACTGCTGAAGAAAAAGAGTCCTGAGATCATGAGTGTCTGGATCGTACTCTACAATACTTAGTTTAGCATCTTTAAACGAGATAATCAATGAGTCACGAACTGAATTGTTCAGTGCAACTGCTTGGATGGACATGATGTTGCCAAAAAGTGAGTATTGAGCGAGGCATTCTAGTTTCAATTTTGGTGGCTTCCCATCTGAAATACAAAATTTTACAGAAAATTATAGGCAATGAGAGAATTCAACTTCATAAAAGCCAAATAAAGTGGCGAAATCAAAAAAGAATCAGGGAGATTTTTTAAGATCAAAATTATGTGTTAGTAGGATACTAAACACAAGAGGAAAATAATTAGTAAAAGTTAGGGTGGAACAAAAGATAGATTGCAGCGTATCATTTACTATTAATTTTTTAGTTTGATTTCAATCCTAAAAGTAAAGTCAACTACATAAGCAGTTTGATGAAAATGTGGAATGTATTAATATGTCCAGATCTAAGGATTCCTTTTTGGAGGGGGCACAGGGGCTTGCATTAATATTCATTTTTTTATAAATTCAACTATAGCACCTGACCATTTTTTAATCTATTCTGTTTCCCTAATGAACATGTTTTGCCATGTGGCAGTTGGAATGAATTAAGTAATTCAAAAGAACACCTTCTCTTCAGCAAGACTTTACTGTACCTTCTACTACCAAACGCTATTTAGCTTATCTCCCTTGGACAGAAAAGTGATTACAAACTCTAAATTCATTTAGCCTGGAGAGGTGACAGACCATATATATCAGGCGTGAATCTAGATTCATCAAAAAAGGTCAAATTCAAAATAACGAAACTATCATCTCATTCTGACATTTGATTAACACTACTATTAACTTCAATATCTTGATGTTTACTTGAGAACATCACAAAAATGTTTGATCAACCTCATTGCTCCACAGAAGAACTCTTCAAGATTTTCAACAGCTAATGACAGTTGGCACAACAGCTGCCATAGAACTTTCAGTCATGAATCAGTTACTATGAAATCAATCACAGACTTTAACTTCTGGCTCTTGCATACAGCAAATCTTTTTCACCGCACTTGACCTCTAGTCAACTATTTTGCCTCATTTCCTTAATAGATAATTTTACGCCTCAGCTTGCTGGGAGTAGCTTGTTGAGTAAGTTGCAAATCTATTGCAAATCAAACACGAGACAAGTGACGAGGCGACCGGTACCTACAGTGCTCACTGCAGCAGGCCTGTCGTAGCTTTTAGGTTTAAAGAACTTTTACCTGCAATGATAGATTTCTTGTCTTGCGGCTCAAAATCTGGAATGAGTCCATACACCCGCACAACATTTGCACCAACAACAACTAAGGACTTCTCAAATCTGTTGAAAAAATGGCACGACACTGCGTGCTCAACAGCTGTGGGCGGATGGGTTTGTTTGTATATAGAGAACATACTTATCACAATGCAAAGAATTAAACCAATTGAATGAGAAAGTGAATAAAAAAATAATGATAAACATTTACATTCTAGAAGATTTTAATAAAACCGGGACCGAGTCTGCCAGACCGGGCGCATTGTTTATTATTGATAAAGAATGAGGTTATCTCGTGCAAGCTTGCACAAGCTCACGAGCCAAATTACTCTAGAGGTGTTAGTAACTAAGTTCATTTTAAGTCTTTTCGACGGTAGAGCTGCTGAAATTTGAGGAAGGTTTTCAAATAAATTTTAATTTTATGTATGACAAGTTTCAAAATATTTAACGGGGAAATTCGTGTGAAACCAAGCCTTCCTCCGTACGTGTTGCAACGCAGCGAGACATCTGAAATAATTGAAAGCTCGCGGTGGTGGCCCACCTGGAGAATGCACACAACAACTTTTCAAAGCTCCAGCGAAAGCAACGTGACTCAATCGTTTCGTCGCGAGCGTGATAAGAGCGAAAGCGTAGCACAGATCGCCTGTTGCTGACTTCGTAACGTGAAGTTCAACTTTATAGTGATTACGGTGGAACTATGTCAGCTTTCAGAGTTTAACATCATCGCTATGAATTGTTTTAGTGTGCGTGCTGTCGAACTCCGAAATTTCGGTGAACAGTTCAGTGATTCAAGTGCTGCAGAAGTTCTTCGTGTGGGATAATTACTATCAATGGCTCGCTGATTTTCTCGTTCAGCTACTCCCTGATGGAAAATGGTAATTATTTTACGCCTCTTCTCATTTATCCATCCTATCTGAATTGTTGTTTTCTTTGTTTGCCTCTCCAATATCTGATAAATCCTTGCGGAAAGTGCTGTGGCCATTTAGAGGTTAGATCAGAATAGCGTGATCCTTTTTCTATTTTTATTTTTTATTTTTATTTCTGTCAACTAATATTCACCTCCAAATTCATATGTCTTTGTTCATGTCTTGTTTCTAAATGAAAGCCAAGATATGGTTAAGTGTATCAGGACAAGCAACTGTAAATGCTAATGTAGAGATTTGGCGTGAACTGGTTTTTGAGGCTCTGGTCATTATTTCAACTCTTAAACCTCTCTTCCCTATATCAGTACTAGATTTTATTCCTGCAGTAGAAAATTCCATGATTATTGAATCAGGTCAAGTAATTTGGGAAGCAGTCTTTAATTTCCCACAAGAAAAAAATTTTAGGGGAGAGCCGGGCAAAGTGGAACACTTTTTTTCAACGCGCTACAGAAAATTTGTCTCAACTACCTAAAACATTCTGTTTATTTACAATTGAAGTTTCATCGTTTTTTTATCAGAAAAAGGTAAAAGAAGCCGGAAAAATCTTCAAAAAGCGCCAAGAAAATTAAATTCAAAAAAAGAGGCCAAATTCCACTTTGCCCGACTTAAGTCGGGCAAAAAGGCAAAGTCAAAGGCAAAGTCGAGCAAATTATTAATACAATTTCAAGGGGCGGTGAGAGCTTCTTCTTAAAAAAAAAAATTAAAAAAATGAAAACAAGTTTTGGGAATTTTTTGAAAGATTTTAAATTTTCAAATTTGAAATTTTCTGAAAGAGCATTTTTTAAAATTTTGATTTTCTTTGTAGGTGACCCTTACATAATCTTTAAGCATTTCCTAAAGTTTCATTGTGGGCTGCCAAGCGGTTCCTAAGTTACAGCAATAAATACGTACCGTAATCCCACTTAAGAAGCATCATACCTACATACATAAGCCATTCGTGTGGTTCTTATTTTTCGACTTTTCGAAAATCAAATGTCTGACACCCCCCTTCATAAAGTTGTCTTTTGGTGTGAAATGAATGCACAAAAAGTTTCAGCCGGATCGGATCATCCTAAGTGGTGCCGCCATTCCCGACAAGTCTCCAAGCGGGAACTTCAAAACTAGGACAATAGCGTTTTTCCGTCATTTGGCGAATTTTTTCCCCCCCCTTTAAAATGTAGCCACGGCTTTGAAATTTTTTTAGGTCACTTGGGAGGTTAGGGACCACTTTTAGGGACTTCGGGGTCGTCAGATGCGGGTTACTTAAGTCGAGAACCCATACCACCTTTTTTGGACCTCCTCGCAAATTTGGTAAACCAACATTTTATCGAGCCCCCTACCNNNNATCGAGCCCCCCCCCCCCTCCCCCCGGTCCCCCAACAAATCAGATTTAAACTACGGAAATCCTGTTTTTCAACTCAGAATCCCCCTTTTAGCTCCTCAGCTCGGGGAGCTTCGGGATGAAAAATTACGATTCCTTGGAGTCGATTCTCCGGTCCGTAATAACCTCGTCGGACGTATCGTAACCGAAAGAAAATCCTGGTGCGGGTGATTTGGAACACCCTGTACGTGCTTTTCCTGCGTGAACTTGATGAATAACCTCTGCATGCAGTTTTAAGTAGGTTGTCAACTTGATTGGGGACTTGGAAATGCGACGCCAAACATACTTTACCAATAAATGATAGGCAAAGCAGGAAAATAATTCTAAAATAGTCGCGTATTTTTTAATGTTCACGGAAATGTGAAATAAGGAATCATCATTGGTCAAAGCGGACACCAAGAGCGCAACTATTCGGACTCCGGAATCATAGTCTCGTGGTATAAGGCGAAAATGAAGGCAAATCTGAACTTCTTTCCTGTCTCAAATTACTGAATCTCCTAAATGTAGGTATTAAAGTTCGCATCATCAAATGCATAAAATCGAGCACGCAACTATTCAAACTCCGGAGTGGGTCTGTGGTATCACGCGAAAATGAAGGGGAAATCTTAGCTTTTCGCCTGTCTCAAAGGGTAACCTAGAATAAAAGCGGGTTGATAAAAAACTTTGTGTTGTGTTACTTTTGGTTAATATAGGAAGTGAAACGCAAACCAACACAAATTTTGTGTCGACTTCAGTAAAGTTTGCGGTGATTTAGCGCAGAAAAGAATGGAGTGACTGGGAAAGTGCATTCTTCCGATTACGACGTTTGTATTCTGCCGTGCTAAGGAAAAACGCCGTATGAAACTTCAGGCGTTGCCAAATTCCCGTGGGAAATCATTAATTTTCAGGAAAATTTTTGAATATTTTTCTGTCAATTTCTCAGATAATATTGTTTGTAATTTGATCTAAAGTGTCTGAAAATTTCAAGGACAAATATTCAAAACTTTTCTCAAAAATAAACATTTTATCGTAAGAAATGTGGCAACCCTCGAATGTTCAAACGGCGGCGTTACTCCTTAGCACGGCAGTATTCATCTCTCGTATTTTATTAAATTTGTTCAAGAAAAGTAGCCGGCATTTCTCTTGAAACTGTCAACCAAAGGCTAGGGTTATTTTGTGTTTTGCTTCCCGTCCCCGGTAAAAATTGGCAGTAGAATCTGTGTTCCAAAATACCATAGACCTACAGCCGGCTGTAAGATTTCCAATAGCTTCTATAGCCGGCCACACAATATCTTATAGCCTTCTATAGCCGATGACGATCAAGCAACAGCCAGGCGATAAAGTGTATTACTAGGACTTTGGACTTTTTGGACTACTGCTCTCTTTTTGCGCTGTAGTATCTTGATTTATTTTGCGACGAAAGCTCCGTACTTTTGATGTATGCCTGCCATTCCTAATATATTAGAGCGCCTTCAGTTTCGTATGATACTGTGCAATACCTCTGGTGTGAAATAGTTGCTTCAAGCGCCGTGGCAGGCGGGCAGCTAGCGCGAAACACGCATTGGCGCCTACAAACCTAACAGGGATACTTCACGCGTTGCGCAATGCGTGAAGTATCCACGTTAGGTTTGTAGGCGCCAGTGCGTCGCCGCTCCGCTTCGTGTTAGGCTCTAATATTTAATCTGGCGGAGTCAGCGTTATTCAACTCATGATTTTGNGGGGACTTGGAAATGCGACGCCAAACATACTTTACCAATAAATGACAGGCAAAGCAGGAAAATAATTCTAAAACAGTCGCGTATTTTTTAATGTTCACGGAAATGTGAAATAAGGAATCATCATTGGTCAAAGCGGACACCAAGAGCGCAACTATTCGGACTCCGGAATCATTGGCTCGTGGTATAACGCGAAAATGAAGGCAAATCTGAACTTCTTCCCTGTCTCAAATTACTGAATCTCCTAAATGTAGGTATTAAAGTTTGCATCATCAATGCATAAAATCAAGCACGCAACTATTCAAACTCCGGAGTGGAACTGTGGTATCACGCGAAAATGAAGGGGAAATCTTAGCTTTTCGCCTGTCTCAAAGGGTACCCTAGAATAAAAGCGGGTTGATAAAAAACTTTGTGTTGTGTTACTTTTGGTTAATATAGGAAGTGAAACGCAAACCAACACAAATTTTGTGTCGACTTTAGTAAAGTTTGCGGTGATTTAGCGCAGAAAAGAACGGAGTGACTGGGAAAGTGCATTCTTCCGATTACGACGTTGGCATTCTGCCGTGCTAAGGAAGAACGCCGTATGAAACTTCAGGCGTTGCCAAATTCCCGTGGCAAATCATTAATTTTCAGGAAAATTTATGAATATTTTTCTGTCAATTTCTCAGATAATTTTGTTTGTAATTTGATCTAAAGTGTCTGAAAATTTCGAGGACAAATATTCAAAATTTTTCTCAAAAATAAACATTTTATCGTAAGAAATTTGGCAACCCTCGAATGTTCATACGGCCACACAATATCTTATAGCCCTCTATAGCCGATGACGATCAAGCAACAGTCAGGCGATAAAGTGTATTACTAGCACTTTGGACTTTTTGGACTACTGCTCTCTTTTTGGGCTGTAGTATCTTGATTTATTTTGCGAGGAAAGCTCCGTACTTTTGACGAATGCCTGCCATTACTAATATATTAGAGCGCCTTCAGTTTCGTATGATACTGTGCAATACCTCTGGTGTGAAATAGTTGCTTCAAGCGCCGTGGCAGGCGGGCAGCTAGCACGAAGCACGCATTGGCGCCTACAAACCTAACAGGGATACTTCACGCGTTGCGCAATGCGTGAAGTATCCACGTTAGGTTTGTAGGCGCCAGAGCGTCGCCGCTCC